ACCTGAACGTGTGTACCTCATTTATAGATGCTTTATTAAAACAAAATTGTCTGTGACATTTTCATATCTTCCACTGTTTTACAAAAGTCAGATAATACTGCAAACAAGCAACTTCATTTCCTTACCTCTTAATCAGCTGGATGACAAACCTAACCTCCTTTCTTTCTGTATGTGTTAGTTTATATAATAGGTTCTGTATTGTCAGATCTGTGCTGGACCTATTGTTTTCAGTAGTAGTCTGATTTGTCCCTGTGATAAGCCCTGTGGAGATGTGATTATTCCAATAAAAATTCATTCAGTTGGAAACCAACCCTCCAGCTGTTTACTCCCACAGTCCCTGAGCTACACTAACACTATATGGAATCCTTGAACAATATTTAACGTGGAATCAAAAGCATCTTTAAAACATTTTACTTTAGACTCTACACTGTGTAACCTTAACAATAGATATCTAGCATCCATGAGGGAACAGTTTACAGTTAGACAACTTTGAGCCTTGACTGCTGTGTTCATCTTTGCAGAAAGCTATTGAGAGTCTCCAGTTCCTAAAGAACACATCTGACAATAAGATTTCAAGTGTTCATGTGTGCGCTCTCTATGTTGCTTATAAAAGGAGGCATACAACTGCTGAAGTTTTTCAAAACCAAAATGCAGCTGAGTAAAAACTTTATCCTGCTATGCTAAAGCCATCGCTGGCATGTATAATATATGCATCAGTTTGCAATTGTAGCTGCTTCAATGTTCCGCGGCAGAGAGAGGCTGTAAATCTATTACATATGTGTTGTTTTTTTTTTTTTGCTGGGATAAAAGAGTTTTATTTTGTAAAGCTAAGCTCTTCAATTTATTTATTTTTAAATATTAAGCTTGAAGAGCTAGTAATTTGCACTTGTTGTTTTCTCTGTTTTGAATATTGATGGTGTTTTTGCCCTTTGGCAGGTCCAGTTAACCTAAGTGCACCAGCTCAGCTTGTGGCACCCTCAGTTGTGGTGAAAGGCACTCTTTCCATCACTTCCTCTGAGGTCTACTTTGAGGTGGATGAAGAAGATCCCAGTTTTAAGAAAATCGACCCGAAGGTAAGAGATCATTGACCCTTAGCTCTGAGAGATGATGACAAATTACCTACGACCTTTAATTCTTCATTCTACTTCCTCTGCCTCTATTGGTCTGCTATGTTCCTGCTTTAATAAGTTTGTAACCGACCATACACATTACTGAATTTCACTTAAGTGGCACCTTCTTTCCTTCTCCCTTTTCTCCCCCTCCCATGATTCGACCGTGCTTGAATGTTAATAAGCTTGCTGCAAATAAAGCTCCAGGGAGGCATCTTAAATAAAGACATCTTGGATCATAGGCCTGTGTGAATACTAGAAAGTTCAACAAGGCTGTTAGCCCCAATGCTTTGTTTTACTTTCCTATTTTTATATAATGCCTCTATAACAAACACAGTGCTTAACTTCCTACACGCTTAAGTTTGCAATGCTTCTGTATCTTATTATTCTATAAGAGATTTTATAGGGCCCGTTATTATTTATTGTGCCTAAGCAGAAAACATAATTGCCCTCTTAAAATGTGTTTCTGACCTAACTTGTTAATTTCCGCAAACTTTATTTGCTCCGAGTTACTTGATTACTCATGTTTTGCTTAAGATGAGTACCCTTTCAGTAAAATTCCAGTTTCAAAGGCATTATATCGTGAAATTGGTGAAACCTGAGGTTGCACATGAACATTTTCTACAGTATTATAGCAGCGTTTTGAAAGAATGGCACATTGCTGGTAAATATTCTTGCATTCCATTTTAAGTGCAGCAAAGGCTCTTGGATTTTAGAATAACTGCTGATTATTAAACAGGGTAATAATTTCTTTTGGAAGGAAAAAAAGTTGAAGTAGTGGTGCTATACAGAATTAGGTTTTTGCTTTTCTGTAGAGGATATCTTGTGTGTTAAGTGTCAGTTCAGTTCTTTGTTCCCATTGAATAAATTGCTCTTGTCTGTATTAAAAATGGCATTGGTGACTCTGAAAGCTAGGCTTATCAAATAGGATCAAGGAATAAATTTATTTTGAAAAGGGATACTATTAAATTCTTAGAACTAGAATTTAACTAGAATTTAATATGAGCAGTTAACTAGAATTGTGATTTTATGTAGGACCATAAATGAAATTTAACTTTTCTGTTGGTCTAGAAATATTTTTTGAAATGGTTTAAAGTATGAAAAAACTTTTAAAATTTTGATATGTTACTCTTTTAGTAGTGTTTTGGTAAAAAGGATATAAATATTAAATGTAAAGACATTTTGATATGTTACTGGATTGTGTTGTCAGTCTAAAATATTCTGCTACATATTGTATTAGCATGAAAAAAGTCTTAAAGCTCTGCTTATTGTGTATGTTTTTGTTCCATGTTTAGCATATAGGACACTGGAGTACAGTTAAGAATTCTTACCATTCCTATTACCTGTTTTATGGGGCAATGACATACATTCACTTTGTTTTCTTTTCTTCTTTTCTCATACATTTGGTAGTGGTTATTTTCATAACTGTGAGCAGGCATTCTGGTCCGACTGTATCTTTAATTCTGTACTGAGAGGTTTTATTTAGGTTCCTATAAAAGATGCAGTCAGTTACACGAATATAGAAGGCATCTCTTATATTCTAGTTGTGATGCTACTTTAGCCAGGTCTTAAAAAAGAATTTTAAAGACCCTCCTTAATGACTCTTTTGTCTGTGTGTGTCTTGTGTATGGGGGGAAAAAAGGGGGGGGCACTATAAAATTAAACCTGAATGTTTTTGTTTTGGAAACAACCAGGGTTACAATAGAGCTTTCTTTTAAGCGTTAACGTCTCCCTGCCCCACCCTCTGCCTCAGTGGCTGCACCTTGACGCCGGGGACTGGCACTGCTGCAGAACAGCAGGCCCCTTAAAGAAATCCTAATCCGGTGTAGCTCAGAAGGCCTGCTTAATTAATGAGTCTTCATCCGTTTGATAAATTTAAGTTACTTGTATATTTGTCTAAACTACTGAAAAGAAAACATTGTGACAAGCTTCTGAAGGAAAACCTGCAGCAGAGATAGTATCAGTGCCGATAAGATCAGAGTTTACTCTCTCAGTCCAGGGCTGTTTTCTCAAGGAAGCGGCACTGCTCCCGTCCGGGGCCGAATCCCGTTTTGTCAGGTGAGTCGCGTTCAGCGCTCGGGAGAGCTCTCTGATGGCTCTAACAGTAACTCGCGAAACACAGTAAGGCTTTAACGTCTCGGAGATAAATAGGCTAAATATAAAATAACACCGCTTGTCTAAAATTAACCGAGTGAGAATATGCACGGCTGTTTGGGCGCAGAGAGAACAAAAACGCTTTTACACGGGCATTTTACGTAGTCAGTGTCTGTTTTCCGTTAGATAGAATTGCCTTTTGAGTGATCACAGTTTTGCTTTAAGTTCAGTTCCCGGGCTCTATTCTGAGCTTTTAATTTCGTTTTAACTTAAAGACAAAAGCGACCCAAATTTGAATGGCTATTTCTTTCCGGATCCGTCCACAAAGAAACGGAAGTAGTCCTTAAGAGCAAGAAGTTACATTTAATTCTTCCCCCCCCCCGCGCCCCGAAAGGGCACAAAAACTAACTGGAAATGCTCCAAACCGACTTGGAAATATTTCGGTCGCTAGAGCAGATAATGATAATGTTTTGAAAACTCTGAATTATGCTCTAGAAAAATACTTTAAATATTTCTAAGTCGTCCTTAGCAAACTGAAAAGAAAAATCGCCGTCGCATAAAATACAACGAATCGGCTAGCATTTTATTTTTTACGGGAGAGGGAGCTTGGGCGGGGAACGAGACTGGAGATGTCCGTCTCATACACCTAGAGAATTGCGGAGTGTTAATTCAGAATTGGCTGTTTTCCTCTGGAATTTGCTCATGTGCTCGTCTGGCAACGGTGCTACGCTACGGTGCGATTTTATGCTGTACTTAAAATCCGGGAAAAACAAATGTTTGTTTAAAAAATATATCGACCAGTTGCTCTAAAGCATATTAATTATTCAGGATAGATCTATACTTCCTTCGTGTCAAAGTCAAATGGATAGCTTGTTCGCTCTGGTAAGCGAAAGCAAATAGCGATGTGTTTTTAAAGGAAAATAACGAGGCGTTTGAGATTTACCAGAAAACTACCAGGGAAAATAAGCGTGGCGAATATATGATAGAAACCCCGGGCCCCTCTAATTCTGTCTAAATTCTGGCGAGTTGCTGTGAGATGGTCCCTGTATTCTCATGATTTGGAGGGGAAGTTTAAAGTCATAGAAATAGAACGGATGTTGTCACATGTTCAGCTACAAAATATATAGGATTTTTTTCGTAGCTGCACCATTTTAATAGAAAAAAGGGGGAACTTTAGAGAAGGTCAGTGAATATGCCGAGCTAAGCCATCGGCTAGGCACTGCGTTTAAATTATCCTTGCTTTTCGCGTTTCTTTCTTTTTTCTTTTTCCTGAGGTTTGGAAAGAAACTGTTAGCCTGAATTTAAGAACCATTCACAAAAAGGCCATGTAAAGTTAAAGTAATATTTTTATTACTATTTGCAACAAGTCAGTTGTGGGGCACATAATCTGACCTTGGCACTGAAATACATTTAACATCAGTAAAACTTTTTTAAAGGGAAATTTGTACATATAGTTAAATAATTTTTCACTTGGTGACAACATTCAGGCAAACAAGAAAGAATAAGAAAAGGACTATACATTTATTCGAAAATGTACCTTTTGGGTTTCGTTTTGGTGTTGCAAAAGTCCGATCGCTTCTTTTTGTGACTTTTTTAAAATTCACATTGGAGGAAAAGAGGAGAGGCTCTTCCCTTCGCCTGTGCGTGCAACGCAGTGAGAGTTTATGCCGGGAAAAACGCCTGCAAGTTTTTAAACGCCGAGCTGCAGGTGGGTGGGGGCGGGCGGGGGCGCGTTTGTTTCGCCGCCTCTCGCTGTCGTCGTTTGCGTTAAATAAAAAGTTTTTAGTCGCCGTCGTTGTTTGCGGAGGGTTAGTTTTGTGCGCCTGGGTGTTAGCCCTATAGTTTGTCGAGGCTTTTGGGATTGGTGAGGATTTCTCTGGCCAGCCTCCAGGTCTGTTTGGCAGCGCTTTCCAGGGCCGAGTGGGGTTTGCCCTGAAAGAGGTCTAGGTTGGGCAGGAAGTAGTGGGGGCAGCGGCGGCACTGCAGGCAGGAGATGAGCTGCAGGAGGATGCCGTTGAGCCGGTCGCCCAGGCACGCCTCGTCCCAGTCGGTCTCCCGCGGGTGCTTCTCGCACTCGTACAGCAGCAGCGTCTTCATGTGGTAGTTGTTGAGCGGCTGCCCCGGCAGCTCCAGGTGCCGGTCGCGCAGGGTCTTCAGCACCGAGAGGCACTTGTTCCGGCAGCCGCCCATGAGCAGCCGGTTCTCGGCCTCGCCGAACTGCAGCACCCAGGCGTCGCTCTCGGCCGAGCTCTGCTTGCCCGTCAGCGAGTAGCACTCCTTGGAGAGCAGGTTGAAGCCCTCCGCCTTCACCTCCGCCACCCGGTTGGGGCCGGGCCAGGGGATGTGGGGCATGGGCCACTGCGCAGCGCTGCGGGGCCAGATCCCGGTGCACTTGAAGGCGGGCGTGATCTGCACCACGTAGCGCTCGCGGATGCGGAGCTTCACCTCGCTGGTGTCCGCGATCATCTTCACCACGTCGCGGTAGCTGCACTTGTCCACGGCTTGGGCCACCAGCGTCTGGAAGCGGGAGCGGATCTTGCGGGCGGACAGGTAGCCCGAGGCGGTGATGAACTCCACCCAGAGGGACATGCTGCGCTTGCGGCCGTCGCTCAGCTTGAGCACGGCGCAGCCCGGCAGGGAGCCGTCGTCCACGAAGTTGAAGACGCCCATCTGGTTGAGGTAGAGCACCACCTCAAACTCCGTGGGCGAGATCACCTCCAGCCCCTCGTAGCGGGCGTCGATCTCGCTCAGGGAGCTGATGAAGCGCGGCTCCTGCACCTCCACCTCCTTCAGCACGTCCGACACGACCTTGCACACCTCGCGGATGGTCTTGGCGATGGCCGCCTTGCGGGCCTGGCAGCGCTCCGTGTAGTATTTGTTGAGCTGGTAGACCAGCTTGGCCTGCGCGGCGATCATGTTGGGGCACAGGTCCGGGCTGTACACCGGGCTCTCGCAGTACGTTGAGGGATCCAATGCTTTAGCGGTGGCTGCAGCTTTGCGGAGGGCACCAGCCAAATCGCAGACCCCCACCCCCTCCGGGAAGAAGACGACAGCAACGCCCAAGTGCGAGCAATTAAAAAATCAGGGAGGAGGATGGCAGTGGTCGAGACGACGGAACACAAAGGAGCGAAGCGGAGCGCTGCCCGGCTCAAAGGAGTGCGAGTCGCAGGCGAGCGGGACGGTGCGAGCTGGCGGCAGCGGTGCCGGAGCCGCGGGCAGTCCCTGCAGGCTCCCGAAGTGCAAAGTTTTGGGTGGCAGCGGGGGCAGGGAGGTATGTGCTGCCTCTGCGCTGAGGCGCCCACCCCCCCACGCAGCTACACGAACGTTTCAATAGTTCATTAAAAAAAATAACCCAAACAAACTTCCCCAGGACTCGCAGAAGGTCCCCGCAGAAAAGCCGATCAGCGGCGAAGTTTAAAACCGCACACAGTACGAGAGGAGGAGAAGAATGCAAGAAATGCCCAGAGCGGAAGAGTGAACTCTCTTTCTGTCTGTCTCCCTCTCTTTCTCTCTCTCTCTCTCTCTCTCTCAGTCCGTGGCACCACCAGAGATGTGCATGAGTTTGGCTGCTGCTCGCTCAGACTGTCAGGGGGGGTTGTTGATTTCCCTTTTCCTGCTGGAGGCGTTGTCTGAGCCGGGTTCTGTGGCTTTCTCTATCTTTAAGCGCGGACTTGTGCACTTGGTCTGTGATCTTTCATTCCTGTCCTGCAGCTCTACATAGATTGTTTTGATTTTTTTTTTCTTTGCACAGAATGTGTTTTATCCTGAGCAGGAGGAGGAGGGCGTAGCTGCCGTGCCCAGGATCGCTTCTCCTCCCCCTCCCCACCCCTGGAAGTGCGCGCCGAGGCTCTCACTTTCCGCGCCTCTCCTCCTCCGTGTGTTTGTGTGTCTCCGGCTTGGCTGGCGCGTTGTTTAGTTTATGAATGGTCCCGGGGCCCGGGCGGAGGGGAGGAGCCGCGCCTCCTACAATCGCGGCGGA